TATATATATATATATATATATATATATATATATATATATATATATATATGTATATATATATATATATATATATATTACTAAGATATTGAACATTTTCTCCACATCTCAATGTGTATAGTTTATCTTAATTAAAAGTTAATAAACATAACATTCAAATAAATAATACTATCTAAATACTCTAAAAGTTATCGATAGTGAAACTGATGCTAGCGGTGATCAGTGGTGTTAGTGAGGTCGTGGCTAGTAGTTGTTGTTATTGGATGTGAAAGAGGTTGATGGTGGTGGTTGCGTGGTGGTGATTAAAGTTGATGGTTGTGCAACAGTGACTGTTGGTGGTGGCCGGTGATTATATGGTAAAGGTTGATCGTAATAGCTGATGGTGGAGATAATTGGTAGTGGTAGAGCTAGTTGGTTGTGGTGATTGGAGAGTGGTGACTAGAGAAGTGATTGTTCATAGTGCTAGCGCGATGATAATAGTAGTAGGGATGGCAGTGGGGCGGGGCGGGGCAGGTTCAGGGCGGTATGAGGCTTAACCCGCAAAATTTCAACCCACCCCTCCCGCACGATTTAAATTTTTTTTTTTTAGTTTTTTTTCATTTGTTATTTTGCTAAAATATAAAAGTTTAACGTTTTAGTATTTTTGTGGAGAATTTAATTATATTGAGAGTTTGTTACTTTTCCAATATAATAGTTTTATTCCAGTAACAATTTATTGTACTATTTTATAAAACTGAAACAAGGAACATCCAATTATTTTAGTAAAAAGTTACATTAACTGGTTGTAAATGCTCTGTTCTCTCTCCTTATGCCAAATAATTCCCTTTCACGTGCTACCACTATTCTGCCATAGCCGATCTCAAATATGTGTGCATGGCACATACAGAGGGCCCCCATCTAGGGTGATCCCAGCCACTGCATCAATTTCACCCACAAATGGGAGGAAGAGGGCGATCTAAGAAGAACACCTGCAAAACACCAGTATTTGAACGAAAACTAACAGATATCATCACGCGACAGCAAGGAAAACACAATGCAAAAGCCAAAGAAAAAGTACAAGAGGAAGATCTGGATCTGGATAGTGATAATGAGCTCAATTGGCTAGATCTAAGCAGCAATCGACCGAAATCAGCAACACTGATGAGCCCAGTCACTCAATTGACAACTAAATTGAATGTATTGCCGATCTCAATTGGAGGAGCGAGTATGAGCAAAACACAGAGTAATGGAACAGTAACTGTAAGCTTGCCAAAGAAACAGAGCAACGGAACAGGAAATGTTGAGATCGACACTGAGAAACACATGCATGAGAAGAAAGCAATGCAAAATGGAAATGGGGGAAGATCCTGGGCAGGTTTGTTTCATGAAAATAAATTTGCAGCAAAGGGAATAAACCTATCGTATATTCCACCAATGATACAAGGGGGGGAGGGGGGAAGTTGTAGTGCAGCTACTGGAAGAGGACATAGCTGAGGAAAATCAAAAATGGAGCCGAGCAATAATCATGTACGTGGTTTAAAGTACTCCAACTATTGGGGCAATTGAAAGATTCATAGCAGCCCAGTGGAGTAAAATCAGAAAACCTAAGGTACTCTTCCATAATGATGCGTATTTTATAATCATGATGAACAGTTGTGCAGAGGGGGACGAAGTGTTAATGAATGGACCATATACTATGAATAACAGACCAATCATACTTAGACCATGGACATATGGATTTGATTTCAATGAGGAAGTGCTTAAAATCATTCCATTATGGGTTAAATTCCGTAAGCTGCCACTGAACTACTGGAGCAACCAAGCACTAAACAAAATTGGGAGTAGTTTGGGTAAGCCCTTATATGCTGATGCATGTACCACAGTGGATGATAGAATATTGTATGCTGGGGTGTTAATTGAAATGGATATCACTAGGCCATTACCAAGATCAATCAAATTGTATGATCCAAAGGAAAAGTGATTGAACCACTAGTACAATATGATTGGAAGCATCAATATTGTCAGACATGCTGTCAACTAGGACATTCATGTAAAGATCAACAGAAGTAGAACCAGGAGGGAGGAAAACAAAGAGGTCCTGAACAAAAGCAGAAATAAGAATGGAGAATAGTGAGGGTGCTTGATCCTAAGGTAGATAAAATTGATGCACATGGTAGATTTCTGGATCAAGTGGAACCAGAAGGTGATGAGGTGTAGAGCAAGCAGGAAAATGATGAGCAATGGCAACTGGCTAGGGGCAAATCTGCATCAAAAAAGAACATGGGAGCTGTAAATGAGAATGAGGTAAACATTGGCAATGCCTTCAAAGCTCTAGTTGATACAGCACAAAAGATTATGCAACTTTCTGAAACTCAAGAGAAAAGAGGGCAGCCTGGAGGAAAGGAGAGAGGTGGTGAATATCCTATAACTACTATATGATGATGAGTATCATATCATGGAATGTTAGGGGTCTGAATAAAGTATATAAGCAAAAAGAACTCAAAAAATTTAGTAAAGAGAATAATATAGTACTAATGGCTGCTCTAGAGAATAGAGTTAAGGAACCTACTGCTGATTCAATAATCAAGAAGGTGTTCAATAACTGAAAATGGATAGCAAATTATGATAAAGCTCTGGGAGGCAGAATATGGGTAGTATGGGATCAAACAAAGGTGGAGTTGGACGTATATCAAGTATATAAACAATATATTGTAGGGCAGGTGGCCATGAACCAGAACAGATTCAAGTTTAACTTTGGAGCTGTGTATGGATTGTCTACCATACAAGATAGGAAGGCACTATGGGAGGACCTGAGGAGAACTATGGCTGGAATCAGTGGACCGAGCTTAATAATGGGAGATTTTAATACTATCTTATCTAGTGAGGATAGAGTGCAGGGGAATGCAGTACAAGAGTGAGGTGAGAGATTTCAAAGACTTCATAATAGATGTTGGACTAGATGAACTCAGAACTATGGGTAGGAAGTTCACTTGGACAAACAACCATGTCCATAGTCGAATTGATAGAATGCTTGTAAATGCAGAGTGGACTAAAAAATGGCTGCCATAGAGGGGATTATAATGAACCATGGTTTTTCTGATCACTGCCCTTTGAGCTTAATGTTTGATGACACTAATCAAGTAAGACAGCGACCTTTCAAGTTTCTAAACTGCCTGGCAAATCACAAAGACTTTGAGGACACAGTTAAGCAATGCTGGACAATGCAATGTTAAAGGTGTAGAATAAACTCAAAATGCTAAAGGGTGATCTGAAGCAGCTGAATAGTCAAGAATTTAGAAATATTGGGCTCAAGATTCAAGCAGCAAGAACAAAAGTGGATGGCATACATGCTCAAATGCTAGGTCCAGTAACTAAAAATGAGACAATAGCACAAGAAAAGGCTGCAAAACTTGAATTGGCTAAATGGCTAGAGGTGGAGGAGAGTGCTTTGAAGCAGAAATCAAGAGTCCAATGGCTCAAATTAGGGGATTCAAACACATCTTACTTCCATGCATGTGTGAAAAATAGGCAAGCAACAAATCATATTGGAAGACTAGTCAACAGTACAGGGCAAATATTCCAGAATACAAATGAAGTGGAAGAGGAAATAATGAACTTCTACAAGAAGTTACTTGACACAGCAGCTGCACAACTACCAACAGTCAACTCAGAAACCATGTAGAAAGGCTATATGTTGAGCAGGCAAAAACAATTACAGCTAATAAAACCAGTCACAAGAGAGAAAGTAAAGAAAGCAATATAGGACATTGATGATAGAAAAGCACCGGGATGTGATGGATACAGTTCATTTTTCTTTAAGAAGATATGGCATACTCTAGGTGATGAGATTACTGAAGCACTGATGGAGTTCTTTAAAAATGCAGAAATGTGTAACGCCATCAACTGCACCACCATTACACTGATTCCTAAAGTAAAGAACCCAACCAGCATCAAGGAGTTTAGGCCTATATCATGTTGCACTATGCTTTATAAGATAATCTCAAAAATTCTAACAACAAGATTGTAGGTAGCTATGCCAGACCTAATTGATAACTGCCAAACAACCTTTGTGCCAGGAAGAATGATTACAGATAACATCATTATGAGCCATGAATTGGTTAAAGTCTACGGGAGGAAGAACATATCACCAAGATGTATGCTCAAGATATGCAGAAAGCTTATGATTCTGTGGAATGGGTTTATATTGAACAGGTGATGAAATAGCTGGGATTTTCTGAAAAATTTGTGAAGTGGATAATGGTATGTATTAGCACAGTTGCTTATTCTGTTATAATAAATGTCAAGCCAACCAAGCCATTTGAGGCAAGAAAGGGACTTAGACAAGGGGACCCGTTATCACCCCTGCTATTTGTGATGGCCATGGAGTATCTATGCACACTGCTGAAGCCACTGAAAGAGAATAAGGATTTCAAATTTCACCCAAAATGTGCTAAAGTCAACTTAGTACAATTGAGATTTGCTGATGACTTATTATTGTTCTGTAAAGGAGACATAAAATCAGTCAAGATTCTGCACAAACAGTTTCAAACTTTCTCTGCAGCATCAGGCCTAATTGCAAATCCAAATAAGAGCAGCATCTACTTTGGAGGAGTGGACAATAGGACACAACAACATATTATGAATATGTTAGGATACACTAAAGAAAAATTACCTTTCATGTACCTAGGAGTCCCTTTGAGCACAAAAAGACTGACGGCTATGCAATGTGAACCCCTAATTGATAGAATGTTGAACAGGATCCAATGTTGGACAACAAGGTTTTTATCATATGCAGGCAGAGCAATGCTTATCAAAAGTTTACTACGGGCAATTCAGACATTCTGGGCTCAAATTTTTGTTCTGCCAAAAAAGATCATACAGTTCATAGAAACAATATGCAGGAGATTCTTATGGTCGGGGAGTGCTGAACCTACCAAGAAGACATTGATTGCTTGGGATAAATTGTATGCTCCAAAGGTAGCAGGAGGTCTAAACTTCATCAATGTGGAACTGTGGAACAATGCAGCTATATGCAAGCTCTATGGAATATTTGCACAAAGAAGGAAAAGTTGTGGGTCCAGTGGATACATGCTTACTACATAAAGGGGGGTACTATATGGAACACAGAACCAAAGAGTGCATCGTGGGTTATCCAAAAGATTATCAAGGCAAAAAGACACTTTGAGGATGCTGGTTATACAGAAGTGGAGGTGACCAAGATAGAGAAGTTCTCTGTGAAGGACATGCACAAATCAATGCAAGGGGAATTTCAGAAGGAGTCATGGAGGAAGTTAGTATGCAATAACCATGGACTCCCAAAGTGGATATTCATACTAAGTTTGGCAATACAAGATAAGCTAGCTACGAAAGAAAGGTTAGCAAGATGGGGGACCATAGAAGACAAAACATGCTCACTTTGTCAAAGAGAAAATGAAACTGTACAGCACTTATTTTTTGATTGGGAGATGCCAGCAACTCTATGGCAGACTCTTTTACACTGGCAAGGCATTAAGAGAACTAAGAATGATTGGCAGGAAGAACTAAAGTGGATAGAAAGGGTGGCTAAAGGGAAGAGTGCAGGAGCAGCAATTTGCAGAATGGTGCTAGCAGCAGCAGTCTATCACATTTGGCAAGCATGAAATAATACCATCTTTCAAAAGAAGAAGAGCAATGCAAATGCTACTATCAGATTGATCATCCAAGAAATATATATTAGAGCAAAGTTGTTTTCGAGGCTAGATAGATGTTTGAATGCTCTGAACTGGTACCCAGATAGAGTTTAGGTTGAAGAAGCACTAGAAGAAGATTGTAGTAAGGATAAATATATCCTAGCTGGGGCTTCATGTCCAGTAGGAGTTTGATAGAATCTTACTACAATCAAATTGTTAATTACCAAAAAAATTATTTTATAATATTATCTGATGCTTTATAGAATTTTCTTGCAATTAACCTTGATTTAAAAAAGAATTCACTTGTCAAAACGCACTTATAATCACACAAGAGAACAAAATGAAATTAAAAAAGAAAAGAACGGAAACCTACGCCAATTCGTCAAAAAGAGAGAAAAACTAACAGGATAAGTATTGAACTCCAATACGGATGGGGTGGATTTGTTTCACATTTGTCTGGTATTAAGATCTACAGCTATTACAGGAACCAAAAAAATTTTACAGCGTCCCGCCCTGCCCCACAATAACTTTTCAGAAATCGTAACCCGCCCCGTCCCGCATTAACCGCCCGCCTCCATCCCGACCCGTTGCCATCCCTAAATGGTGGTAGTTGACGGTGGTTTACACATGAGATAGTTGTAATAGTTTTTGTAATAGAATTTATAGTGGCAAGAGATAATATTCAAATCAATCTATGTGAACAAATCCTAATGATTTTAAGACTCTTTCCCAATCAGAACGGAAAAGATCTATCCAAAGCAAAATACTAAGTGATTACTAGTAAAAAAGATCACAATAAATGCAATTAATAATTGGAGAAATAAATGACTCAGATTTAAACCTTATACTTAAAGTCATTGACGCAAAGAAGAATGTCCTGGCAAAATCTCTTCTTTTTAGAATCTCTTTTTCTTCTTCAACTTTTCAGACTAAAATATTTTCAAGACGGATGAAAGATGTATAATCTTGAAGTGGAGACTTACCTTTTATAAGCAGTGAGTAAGCGCAGGGCCAGGAACCAAATTTGTAAAGAGACAAGAGTATCAGCTTTTGTTTTGTTTAAGTCGAGTCCCACAACTGAAGAAATGCTTTGTATCAGCACTCAGTAGTCAGCTCAGCACCATCGCTGCAGATTCATAATTAAGTGCACTCTATGCTGTTTCAATTTGCAGGCGCTGTTCCATTGATGCCGGCTTTAACACATGCCTGTGAATTGTGATAGTACTACTTCCTCCAGCTTATTTTCTTACTAGTATCAATTAGTATGGCTTTACTACAGCACGAAAGGAACAACACCCAAAACAGACCTGCTTTTTGCCTTGTGAATTTAGTAGTAATATACACGAGATTCCCACCAAGGGTTGCAAAATGCTTAAACCTGAAAACCATGCCTTTCAAACACGAGAGCAAACAAACACCAACAACGTGACACTGTGAGGCTTTTGGTGCGACAACTAAACCCGACGCTCCAATTAGCTATTCTCAAATTGCAGGTTAATTTCATGTATGGTCATCCAACTTTTAGTTTATTGTACCAAAGTCATAAAATAATTTTTATAAAAAAAGCAACTCGATTATCAACAAACGCGCGCACACATCACATAGCATAAATCGCCAAAAATGCAAAACATCGTCTGCAGTCACATGTATAAAGCTCTCATTTAAATATGTTACAAATGTATCGGTTCCTCTTGTTGAAAAAATAAGAGCGAAACCTCCACAGAAAGCATTCCTTCATGTCCTTTTATTAAGTATCTAATTGGTCGCCCTGATAATCTTTTAAAAATCAAAAACAAGAAAAGGGGCTCGCATCGAGTTTACATCCTAACCATTAGTTTCCCTCTCACGTATCCGCTGAATATGTTACACTCACCTATAGCTATTCAATGTCACAGTATTAACTGATAATAGCAATTCTACCATGCTGAAAAATCTTTAAGCTCTGTTGATGTTGCCATCTTTCTCTTCTTTGCCGCAGAAATAGGTGGTAGACTACTATCAGAAGAAGTTTTGGAGTCGGCCTGTGCAGCCCTTGCTTTCAAGTACTTCCCAACCCCACTGCCAACAGCTTGAATCTCTGAGGTACCTGTTCCAGGGTTGCTGTACCATGATCCAACCTTCTCCTGAAATACAGGAAGAGAAAAGAGAGAGAGATGGACACAAGAGTATTAGTAGATCCAATCAAAGAAGCAAAATGGCTGTGTCAAAAAAAGGTATAGAAAAAGAATGATACTAACATTATCTTCATCCTCAGTTTTCTTGTCATCATTTGTTTTCTCTTCTTCTTCATCAAGCTCTGTATAGGGATTGACATAAACTTCTACGCTTATTATCTTGATTTCTTCCTGCACGGACAGCAGAAGCAAAAGGACTTGAGGTAAGGACTCAGGCATCAAAACAAAGAAGAGTCGGCTTAAAAAATTATCTAGATAAGAAATTAAAACACTGAAGCGCAGAAAAAACAGCAAGATTCAAGTATGGCTCCCTCCAGCAGAAGGATATGAAAGATGAAGAAGAAGACGGAACGAAAAGACCCAGACAAATGGAAGGCCACTTGACAAGATTATCTGGGAAGAAAATAAAGTCTTCTTTCAAAATAAAAAAGAAAGGATTAAATATAAAGGTATGAAACAACCAAGAGCTGTCAATTGGCTGAGACAGCACAGCTACTATCATACTGCCTTCGGTTCTTTACACCTATATGAGATCCTGATTAGATCCGATCACTCCACTTTCTGTTGAAACCAAAAATCAAGAATTTTGAGAATGGAAGAATTTTTCCCTCTCTTTAGAGAAGTAATTCATTTAGAAAAGCTGGTAGCATACAATCTGCCATTTTAACCACAGATGGGAAAATCATAAGCATCAAGACTGCAAGAATAAGAGGAAGATACATTAACACACGTGTGCAGTACAGTAAGTCCACATTGGCAAGATCTTCAAATCTCGTCCTTATCGCAAAGCTGAACAGGTTAACACAGATTCTTGACTTGTTTCGTCTGGACTATGAAACTGTTTCTAGTAAAATAAAAAATTTAAAAACTAAAAATCACCCCAAAAGCTGAGCAGGTCAATGAAGATTCTTCACTAGTTCGGTTTGGATTATGAAACTGTTTCTTTAAATAAACAAATATTAGATAGTCAATATTATATCGATCACTTTTATTCGAGAGATATCTGTATTCTCCATATTAATCATGTAATCACGTAATACTGGTTCTAATAATGGAAACTAACAACGTAAGCTTTCAGATATGTAACAGTGCTGGTATTACTAAAAAAGATTTATGGGAGTATTTTCACCCAAATTAGTTGAACTCCCAACCAAAGCATAATCTTTGCATCCTACTAACCAGTGGTCGGTCATCGTCATCGACAGGAACTTTCTCCATAGCAGAAAGTGTTGTCAAGCCTCCAACAACCATACCAAAGACAGTATGTTTGAAATTTAAGTGAGTTGCAGACTTGTACAGGATAAAAAACTGTGAACCATTTGAGTGAGGACCAGAGTTAGCCATGCTAACAACACCTCTACCAGAATGCAGCAACTTGGAGTGTACTTCATCCTTGAAGGGCTTTCCCCAGATAGACTCACCTCCTCTCCCTGTGCCAGTTGGGTCACCACCCTGGATCATGAAATTCCTGCAAACATAGACAAATTGTTCCTTGACATTCAATGGTCCCTATTTATAAACAAATACTCTACAACCATTTCAAGTAAAAAAGTTATCAAAATACCGGATGTTTCTATGAAACGCTACTCCATTGTAATATCCTCGTTCACAAAGGGTAATGAAGTTTTCACATGTCCTTGGTGTTATGTCACAATGAAGCTCAATGTTCAAATCACCATGTGTTGTATGCAGCTGGATGTAACCTTTCTTCTTGGGATTTTTCTCAACTTTAACATATTCATATTCATTCTTTGTTACTGGATCATAGGAGGTGGAAGTGAAGGAACGAGAAGCAGCACCAGTGGTAAAACGACTCTTAACCTGAAAGAATTGAATAGCATTATAAATCACTTTGAATAAAACAACAGATTTCGGCGATGCTTCCATGCGTTATTTCTTGTTGCACCTAGCATCTCCTTTTTTTTAGGATAAGTAAAAGCAAATTGTTGCACCTAGCATCTCACTAAACCTCAACAATATAGAAGTTAGACTAACCACCAGCAATGAGCAAAAAAATTTATTTATTTTTTTTTTTTGATAAGGTAAAAGCTTATGAGCAAAGAAATTTTTTAACTAGGCAAAGAGATTAACAGATGGAATATGAAATTAATGCAAGCCAATGTCAACTGCTTTAACTACAGGAAAGCAAGCTATTGCGGCACAGAACAATTTAAAAGGAGCACAACTAATAGCTAGCTAGTTTTTTTATTAGGCTGATAGCTAGCTGGTTGTGAAGAAAGATGTAAAAACCATCTCGTCTCTAGATGTCTCATAAAAAATTACTACTATATGTTTCTTGATTAACATGCGAAGAAGGAATATTACACCAGCAGCAAACTCTTATAAACATACATCTATACTATGTTTTCACTAGTGCGACATGGTTGTATCGGATTATCCAGATAAAGAAACCATAACCCACAAGGTCAAAAACAACTATTATGCCTCAATCCCAAGCAAGTTGGGGTCAGCTATATGAATCCTCACTAACCATGTCGCTCCATTTAAATTCATTTAAGGCCCATATTATAGAATAATAATAAGAAGTACTAGAAGTCTCATTATTTTCATCTGACATATGAACCTCAAATAGCACTAAAAGTCTCCTAACAAACATAAGACCTAAAGTAAACGTACTAACGTGACTAAAACACAGTTCCAACTAATAGGTATCACCTCTATTGATCTTTTTCTTCCATTATGCCCTATTTTTTGCTACGAGGTCAAAGTGACAAAATTATGACGTTACTCAGGATGCACCATTAGTTATAGAAAAAATCTAGTAATAGACCAGAAAGCACATGAAGTCAAATGCAACATAATCTGACCAACAGGAACAAGAACGAGAACGAGAAAAGAAGAAAAAAGGAAATATATGTGAAGCGAGCAAAGCTAAAAGAGATGATGAAAGGCTTGACTAAATATCAGCTTCCTATATGCTTTACCAAAAATCTTTGTTTTCTTTTTGTAAAAGGAAATTGATAATCAAACCGGGATAAAAACAAAACGATAAAAGATGTATTTTCCCAAATGAAACGTGTAAACTATGCGTACAGGTTAAAATTTACTCTCTATGAATTGATCCAAAGAAAAAGGAAAGAGATGATTTCTTTCTAAAAACTAACCAGCTTAGCATTCACTGGTGTCCTTTCACCCAACATGTGCAAAGCTATCCGCGCAGCTGTTTTATCAGTTGAACCAGACTTTGCAGCAGCTGCACTTCTTCCATGAACTGATGCTGATGCAGCATCCACAATGCTGAAAGTCTGTTTTGCTGTACCTTCACCATTTTCCTTTGTTTTTGCATCATCTTTGATACGCGATCTTGCAGCTAAAATAGCAGCAAGAGCAGCAGCTCTTTCATTTTGTGCCTTGTTACCACCTCCACCATGCAGTGCAATCTCTTTTGCTTTCTCACTTCCAAGCTCCTTAAGCATTTGCTTGATGTCTCCAGTAATATTTATGTTGTATGAAGGGTCAGATTGCATTTTCTGTATTTCTGATGAAGTACCAGACACTTATTAGCAGAGGAGCCAAAATTGCAGCAAAACCTGTATGAATAAAAGAAATTACTCACCTTCATCATCAACCGTTAAACTTTTCTTAACATGATCAAAATCTAGAAGCACCTTGGCGTCCAGTGCATTAGGATTCTGCAGTTAGATGTTTAAATGTATCAATATAAGCAACACATCACAATTGTCAGCATTCTAATTTAGCACATATAACAGTTGAGAGGAAGGAAAGTAATTTAGAAGCTTACTTGAATTGTTATAAGGTCTTCTCTAGTGAATGGTTCATCAGTGAGAAGCTCCTTCCAGTTCTTTGTCTTGATATTCAATTCTTTAACTGCCTATGCAAGAAAGCGTGGATCAAACCCTCCATGCAAGGAACAAGCATGTGCTCTTTTATTTGAAGGAAATTAAAGAATAGAGACATGGAGATAAATATACCATACCTCATAACAAAAAACATTCCCTGTAGTTCTTACAGCAACTATATGTGTAAATTCCGTAAAAACCTTGTTCAAGACAGGACAATGATACTCTCCTGAAACAATAAATCACCACTTTCAACTCATTCCTGGAAATGACAATAACTCCTATATGAGGCCCTCCCAAAAGCTAGTAGAAATTATATCTGTACCTAATTACCAGATACTAAAGACCCGATTTTCATCAATAAAAAGTTTGAACTGATTATCGTGAAAGAAATAGACATAAGTGCTTATTCCTCATCCCACATTCAACGTCAGACAAAACATATACAATGTTTCGTGCAACTTTAAGTATAATTTTTTTTTCTTTAAGTAAATAATTAAGGTGCAATTGGACTTATAGATTGGATATCTTCAGCAAAAGGATATTACCTTCAGCATTCTTGTGGAAAGTAAGAGGAATTAAGTCCTCTTGCTTCAAAGGAGCTCCAGTCACTGGATTCTTCCCGTATTTCCTGATATATGGAACTATATGCCTGCAGAAAAAGAAAATACATCAATTAACACTAAATGTTCAGATGAAAATCTAACTTGTAATGGAAACACTGAGACAATAAAATACTGACACTATTTCAAAGACACTGCCATCTTCTGTGCATACCGGATCCTCGAATGGAGTAAATGTAAGACTGCAAATTCAAATTACACGCCAAGTTTAACCAAAAATAAACTTAAAAAGATGATAATGAGCAAAAAATAACCGAAGCAATTATAGCGGAGAAATGAGCTTACGCGCAGCAGTAGAAAGGGAGCCGTTTAAAAGGGGTTTTTAGCTCTTTGTTTTTAGCGCCGCCCCATTCGGTGGCCCATTCAGTCTTGGTTATGAACATACGATCTTTACTGTGCTGTTTCTTCCCCATGGTGTAATTTGTCACTTATTCCTTCTTGGAACTATAATCTCTCTGAATTTAGGGTTTTAGAAAAGCTTTTCTTTTCCAATAAACTAAGAAAAGCTTGTTGATTGTGTTGTTGAAATTTCTTCTTAACAGTAGGAGAATACCACTTTATAAAATCATATGACTATCTGCTCCGGAAGACGGTGGCCACTTTGTACCTTCTTCTCCGTTGCCCGTGTCAGGTCTCTAATTCTGGACCTTTACTTGAACCCGAATAAGCTATTCCTGTCAGGAAACTGGCCCGACCCGTATTAATGTACTTGTCGGATTTTTTCCTGGAAAAATATAAATAAATAAAATAGGGTAATTGCCATTGGACTGGTATATTTTGACTTAATCTTGTGATTTTTCACTAACCAAACCTAAGTTTGAATCAATAAAATTGTGTATTTTTATCCCTTTGTATAAGAAATGTCATACTTATATTATTTTTAAAACTATATTACCCTCACATGTGGAGTAATAATTCACATTTAATATTAGTAATTAAATGGTTTAACAAAGTAACAATTTGTTAAATTTGTGTATATTCACAAGCTACATGAATAAAAATACACATTTTAGTTAACTATCTGTTAAATGTGCTCAAATATCTCAATGACCAAAATTAAACTTTATTAGTTAACTTCAAATTTGTTGCCTACTAAACAATGGAGGTCTAAAATTGAAAGTGAATCTAAGAGATTAGAGAAAGAATAATCTCTGAACAATACACTTCAATATATTGCAGAGTAATTGAGATTAAGAAGAGAGAAGAGTTTTATTGATTTCAACATATCTATCCTTTACAATGCATCTCGTATTTATAGCTAGTGTCACAGCTAATAAGCTCAACTAACTGGCTCTCTGTCTCTAACTAACTTCTGACAGCTAACCGTATAACTAACTTCTGAGTGAAATGTCTAATATACCCCTTCTAACAAATTGGCATATAACAATTATATTCCCCCCTCC